GTACAGCGTGCGATGTTAATATCGACAAGGCATTTCACTGCAACACTGTGCCCTGACAGGCTTGTACAGCGTGCGATGTTAATATCGACAAGGCATTTCACTGCAACACTGTGCCCTGACAGGCTTGTACGGCGTGCGATGTTAATATCGACAAGGCATTTCACTGCAGCGCTGTGCCCTGACAGGCTTGTACAGCGTGCGATGTTAATATCGACAAGGCATTTCACTGCAACACTGTGTCCTGACAGGCTTGTACTTATCTAGTACAGATTTGAAAAACCAGTGTGAAGTTTACGGTCTTGCTTTTGCACAGGCATTGCATGCGATCTCTGTAATCATTTTCGTCCTTGCTGTTAGACCATGTGACACGTTTGTGAGAAATTAAACAGAAAAAAATGAGTAAAGAGGAGAAAAGCGAGCAAAAACTGGTCACAAATAAGATTTGTTGCACGGAATGGAAATATTTTATGTTCCATATGGACAATATTGGCAAAAAGCAAGTGATTTGTCAGCACTGCTTTGTCTGCTGGCACAACTCACGGTACCAGCAACTTATTTAACAGACTCTGTTGGTAGACAATAAGTTCTATTAATAAGTTCTAAATTTCCCAATGTGAACTTTTCCTAGTATCATTCAGCCATAATCAAATGGCTAACCTTCATTTTAGCAACGATTATTTTGAGATACAGGAATCATAATAAGCAAAATGTAATTGAAAGTGATGACAAAGACAGGCTAGCCTACTCCGAGAAGCTAACTGGCATATATCTATGGCTAACCTCGCATTGTTGGGTGAGTCTGTCAAACCTGAATGTCTTCTTTTAACGTGTATTTGCATTGTAGTCGTGCTGCAGTGATATTTAAGTTCTGCTTTGCAATACTGACAGACGACAATGTGAAGTGCTTTCACAGAAGTGATGCTTTCGCTCAATATTTGGACCCTCTCGTTGTACGCAGTCTTCCCTACCTCACATTGCTGAGCATTTAAGGAAATTAATTGTTGTTTTTTAATAATCGAGTAATCAACTTTAATCGAGTGATCGCGACAGCTCTAATTCATGCCCAGAAGTGGTAACTGTCAAACTGGCCAAAACTATCTGTGTGAACGATGAAGTGAACAAAAAAAAAAAGAAATGAAAAAGAAAGCGAACGATACTGGCATAAAGAAAAGACGACCAGTGCTGGCAGAACTTGGGCCTTGGACGGTGAAAGGCGCACAAATGAGGAGAGGAGAGAACAGAGAGCTTCTGCCTCTGCGAGGGCTGCTCTCAGTGCAGGGCAGTGCCCTCGAACTCACCAGCGCCACGCCATCTGTCAAGCCGCAGAAACTGTTACCGTCCGCACGCTCGCTGTCACTCGAGTCAGACAACAAACGCCGAGCGAGGCCTCCTGCCAGGCAGAGACGCCTGAAGTGTCTCATACTTTGCAAGAAACACCAGGTTTTTGTCAAGATGCTGATGGGGGCGTGGGATGAAAGACAGATGAGGGGCGGACATGTTTGTTTAGAAACTCAGAGGCCTGTAGACAGCGAGACCCACAGCACCGACTCATGCCTGAGTCACGGCCAGAGCAGTCCGCCTTCCCGGTGAAGGGGTCCCCTGTTAACTCACACTGCATGTGTCACCCACGGAACCCCTGCCCCCCACACACCCCTAACCCCCACATTTTGGGACACCACCTCACATCGATCCCGAGTGCTAGCCCAGATTGGGCCTTAGCAACAAATTCACTCTTACGTAAGGGGCAAAACGTGACCCGTGTCATCCATCAAACCCCCTCTGTAGGGGGGTAGAAACAAGAAATGGGTATATTTTGGACCCTAGAGGCAGCTCAGTGTGAGAAGCCAGGCTTGATCGGAACACAGCACAGTACACACTGCTATGCTCAGAGTGAACTCACTGCGTTTATTTAGGGACGGGGATGTTTGTTTAAGCAAATATCCAGTTATACTTTGGATCAGAGGGTACCGGTTCAAGCCCAACTGAGCGAGTGAGGTAATCTAAACTGCCACAAATCATTTCTGTTATAACCTGTAGAAAATGCTAGGGTGTAACAATTTGCATGTAAATCAGCTATACTGAGACGTATGTAAAAAAAACTGGGAAATAATACAAAAGGGAGTACAAGTCATATCCGAAAATAGACTATTCCTTGCCGTTCGACTATAATCGCACGCTGTGCGATGTTCTGGCTTCACTGTGAATAGCAGATGAACGTTTTTGCCTAGCTATTAGCGTCACTGGGTAACAAAGACGGATTGAATGTGTCAGATAGGCCCGGTGACATAAATGGCAGTCCCTCAGCAAGGACCCACAGCAAGACTGCAGGCTCACAGCCTCAGAATAAACCTTGTGAGAATCTCAGCCTAGCAGCATGTCACAAATGAGCAAATTCAATTTAGGGAGCCCAGAACAAATTCTTGCAGGCATGGACAAGGACAGCTATAACGAGAACTGTGCTACGAACCATTCGTACAGGAAAAAGTTTATGCTGAAATGCAGATATTATGGGCGGTTTATAGTGTCTGACTGATCCTGGGGTTGGCAGTGTGATGTCACCGATGGGGCTTTAACCCCAATCGCACCTGGGGCACCATCTGACACTGATCTCTCACTTGCCCATTACTTTGGCTGAAAGTCTAAATGTTCCGACGGCACAGAGACTCACCTGCTGACCCGGCCGGCTCGTCTGGAGCCCTTTATATCCACCATGCATCCTTTGCTCACGTTTGACACCAGGTTGATCTCGGAGAACTCTGCCTGCAAGACACGAAGCTCTGTCATCGTGCCGACCAGACCCCCAGTCCATACTCTGCTCACACATCACGCTGTACGTTCCGGTTCAGGTTAACTGCTTCAGCAGGAGGAAGATCCCCGGCTCCGGGAATTCCTTCATCATCAGTCCAATTCATTAATCCCAGTGGTGCATACAGGGATCCATAACAAAGGCCTTTTTTTCTAACACTTAGAAGTCTGTGTGTATAGACATCGTGTCAACAAATCTCAACATTCCTGTAATGGTGATAAGGTCTTTGTGGTCCAATAGAAAGAAAAAAAAAAGTAAAATAAGCAAAAGCAAACAAACAAAAAAAAAACATTTCCTTACTTATGTACAAGTTCCACTTTGTCTTTGGGGGACACATACTGCATTGGGCTTATTGTTTATTGTGAGGACCTTGGGACTTGGTGTAGGAAGAATTGCCCGGTGAAAAGGTGACGGGGGTGTTTAGAATATGTACCGTAAATCAAAACAATTGAAATTGTTTCCTGTTGGCTTGTGGTTCCACAATCACTGGATTTTAACTTATCATGAATTCCACCACCAAACCGTCTCCTGAAGCAAAACGGAGACAAAAGCCTCTAATGAAAATGTGGCCGTGGAGGAATTAAATCTGATACGGCTGTTTTGCCCATTGCAAAAACCGGAACTCAGCTATGGTTTCCGAATAAGGGAACGGGACTTTCAGGAAGCCTGGAAAGCGATGCCGCATGCAGCGATGAAATATTTATTTTAAAGCGGTATAGGGCCCTCTGATGTAATGTGCATACAGACACGTGGCTTTGAAGTTAACCTATGGGCTAAAAAAAACTCACAGATGAGCGCAAAGGGGGCAACCAAGCCCCTTAATTTCTTTTACAGGGCGACTCAGGGTTGAGAAGCCCCCCCCCCCCCTGTACGCCACAGGGTTCTGTGACAGGGTTCTTCATCCCCTCTGGGGATACAGGGCCCCGAGAGAAGCTTCTGCGTCTGCTGCAGAACGGGCCTCCTCCGAGGAGCCGAAGCTCTCCTCTTCCCTTCTCCGCCAGGCCGGCACTCCAGGCTGCCCCTGGCCTTCTTTGTCAAGACCGCTGGCCTTCTCCTCGGTGCACAGGCCTCAGACAGCCAGCGGACGGGTAGCCGGGACTCGGCAGCCTGATGCCGATTGCCATGGTTACCATTTCGATTCGGTCACTTGGATCAGTTCCCGCTTTGAGAAAGCAAACAGGTCGCATACAAATGTCCAGCATCGGATCTGTATTTTTTTTAAAAATGGCCGCCAGTCTTACTGAGGCCTAAAAACCACAGATTTCTAAATTCTGCAGGACTGCTGTAAAAATACATCTGTTATCCCAACAGATACTTTTTTTCTCCCTCAATTCTAAGCTTATTTTTGGCCACTCACACTTAAGTGTGAGAACAGGACTGCCCCCAAAACTTAGTTTAAATTTACTGCATCTGTAGCCCAGTAAATTTCTGCTGTTCTGAATGGCATAATATAATGTATGAACATGACCTGTCCTTCAAAGGCACAAGCAAAACAAGTGCAGGGACAGTATTTCTCATAAATATGAACTTATTTGTTAAAAGCAGTAATTGTTTTCAAATTATTATACTCAAATTATTATACTCAGTGTCCTTCAGTGCTGAAATCAACACTGTACATTAATAAACAACTATAATGTCTCTACTAAAACGCCATCCATCCATCTATCCATGCAGGGGTGGGGGAGGGGTCTCACAGCAGGGGAGGCTGAAGGGGTGTGGGGGTTCCCTCAGTAAAATTTCTCAATCCAAGGGGGTTCTCTTTAAATTATTGCCAAATTTGGGACATGGTAAATTTTTCTGAGGGCCCCCCCCCATCCATGAATCATCCGAAATCATGATCAGGATCATAGCGGGACAGGGAGCCTGTCCTGGGCAGCGCAGGACACAATCTGCAATTAGCAGTTTGGACTGTAGGGGCAGTAGAGGACGAGGGCACAACTTGACCAAAACGTAGCTCCTCTTCAGCTCAAGGCCCAGAGGAGGGGAGAATGAAAAAGAAATCCAGCAGAAGCCAATCAGATTTACTGCTCTGCAAAGTGTGGAAATAAAATCATACAGCTTCAAATGCAGAGGGGCTGTCTTTCTGTTTTGTTTCACATCATTGCTGACCTCTTTGTCCTTCTGGAACGTGACATGGCGGAGGACAGCACACATCTGCCCCTGGAGGTCACTGTAGGGGACTCCGCAGAGGTAGTGTTGGCACTGCCAAACACAAAGGCTACATCCAAATACGGTGGCAGGCCAGCTAAGCGAACCCATTCCCCGACACAAAGTCCATCTGGAACCTCTGACTATTTTTAGAGTCTGACTGGATGTGGTGGAGGTTTAGAGGAGGTCCAGCACCAGGAGCGTGTGAGGTCCACCGGCAAGGCGGCCCAACTCATGACCTCACATACAGCTGAACCTGCATTAAAACCTCTAACTTGGACCCATAACCTCTTCCACTCATTAAACTATAATGAGCTCACATGATGCAGATTAGTGGCGACGGCTCTGCCCTCCCCAGCCTACGAGCGGCCTGCTTGCAGGATCTGTAGACTCCACATCTAAATTAAGCTCGTAAAACCGCAGCGTTATTTCAGACGTGCAAACAGGGCAGCGGGGGTCGGCCAAATGAGAAGGTGAGTGTAACGTTTCTGGATTTCGTACAAATAGGGGCAGGCGGGCGTTTGTCTCGCTTAATGACAGGCCTCCTGGCATCATAATGCAGGCCGGCTGGCTTTTAAAAGTACAAACGGCGGGGCATTATGGACCAAAACAAAAGGCACCGAGGAGGATCCTACGCTGACCCCGTATCCCTTTAATCTTGGCCTTGCTGGGTTTAACACTCTCCGTCGTCCGGTCCCTCAAAACGATGACTGACTGCCCCTCAAAACGATGACTGACTGACCCTCAAAACGATGACTGACTGACTGACCCTCAAAACGATGACTGACTGACCCTCAAAATGATGACTGACTGACTGACCCTCAAAACGATGACTGACTATCGCTCGCCTGCTGCTAAGACAAGTTGTCACCTTCTTCCGAGAAGCTGTACAAAGGGAGTGAAAGCAGCCGTGTTGCTGTGTCTGGTTTGGGAGGAGCTGGTTCTTTTGTCCAAATAATTGTCCCTTCTCGCTTGGAAAGTTCGCCTGGGACTGTCCCCTAAGATACATGCTGGCATTAGCGTGTCCCGCTGACATGCTCCATCTACCGCTCCGCTCTGATAACTTTATAAACAATCTGCTTTGCAAACCTGCGCCAAGTGCGACAAGACTTTCCATCCGTAGGCTTCAGTGGTTCAGGCCGCAAACAAGTCAAACTCACAGAACAAAATCAGGATCTCATCAACTGTCACTTAAAATGACTCATAAAATTAGCTCATCTCTAAAAGGAGCAAAAATATATAAACAATAATAAACAGTTAAAACCGAATATCTGTGTTGGAGATGGCATTGGTGTGACCCAATCTTGTGCCTTATGCTGCTTGAGATAGACTTGAGAGACCCGGCAAGCCTCATTAGGTTAGGTTGGATAAATCTAAATTTGCTAATTCTGTAACTCAGTGCATATAATTTATTGACTTTAATTGTTCATACAGAAGACAATGACTAGTGTATAATAGAGCTTTTCCAGGCCACATATGAAGATGAGAGGATATTCACACTCATGCTCTGGGTTTTGCAGACCCTCTTCATATTTGTATCTCACTCAAGCTTTGTCTCACTTTTGGTTTAACAGGGCAAAGTGTTTGGGAATCAGTACAGAGAACAAACCTATTTCAAACCCCAAGGATGTCCTGCCATGACCCCGAATCCGCTTCCCGTGGAAGGTTTTTGCCTTTGCCTTCGTGCCAAACAAACTTGTGATAAATGACCCGGAATAGGGGGGAGGGGGGGGGGAACCAACAGGAGCGGCCTAGAGTGGAACGCGGATCAGCTACGTGCCCAAATACCACCGGTCATACACTTCCCCTCCTAATTCTTGCCCCCCCCCCCCCACCGCACCACAGCTCCTCAACCTTGCAGGCATCCTCAACCTTGAAGTAGCTTGGAGACCTGCAAAGGTTATAAACACAGGCACTGCTGTTGGCTTCAGCTGTGAAAAACACAGGAGTACTGGAGGCGCGCTGATCCCCTCCTCGTGGGGATCACAGGCAGTTGGAGCAGATGTGGTTCTGGATGACCCATGTGCCAAAGTCCCCTGCTAGAGCCTCCGTCACACTGCTGTGGCCCAGGCCCAGGATTAGCTGCTCCCATTACTGATCTTACCCAGGACTTTTGTACGGGCCAAAGCAGCTAAAATCCTATGCAACTGCAATATTTTTATATCATCATTTCAAACCCTTTTATTACGCTACGATAAGATGACAGCAATGTATCTGCAAGCCAATAAAGTGTCTGACGGTTTAAAAGCAGTCGTACACATAATTGCTGACCACAAGCTATCTGGCTGACAGCGACCATTTAATGAAGTATTGAATTACGTACGCAAATACACAGCAGATATCTGTGAAGATATGGTGTTTGTGCATGGCTTTTTTTGGTCTCCTAATGTAGCAACAGCACATAGGCTGTGGCAAATTGAATGCACATAAATTATTCCTCATACTATGAGACCCAGACAGATATCATGGTAAAGGCCAGTCATTTTGGAAGAGGAAACAAACAAACTATTCAATTCAGCAAATATTTTATTAGGGTGCCCATCTTATCCTCCCCGCACTCTCAGAGTAAGAGCTCTTCCAGAGTAGCGTTCAAACGATATCCACAGACTTTTGCTCTTATGGGACGGAGGAGTCAGCGTTCCCAGCACAAACTGGCCTCCCACAGGGCCCCTCCCTGTATTCTGAGCCCTCGCCTACACATGGGGGCCCTCTGAGTAGGGTGGGGGTCTGCTCAATTTGACGTGACAAAGCTGCAGCCACCATCTGGTACCTTATTAGGTAGCGGGAGCCATGGGTAAAGGCGGGCATGAGAGCCAGAGTTTAGCTACAACCGAGCTGGAAAAATCCAGAGCGCGGAGCAGAACTGCAGCAGAACGGGCCCAGGAGGTAGTGCCATGTCAGTGGGCCACCCCCGTTCTGGGGCGGGGTGCAAACCGATCACGTTACTGGTGCAATATTTGGACGGAAAAGCCTCCGGAACTCTATGGGAACGCCCAGCAGGGGGAAGGCTCACTGGGCTGAAGGACTCTGAGGGCAATTAACTGGTCATTACGGCGATAAAAATAAAAAAGACTTTGCTAAATGAACAGGAAAGCTCTCCAAGACAGGCAATTTCAGGCAGCTCTGCCTCTACATTTTTTTCATTCGCTTAAGTCATTTGCTCATTCTTTTCTCCCAAACCGTAACGCTGCCCCATTTTCTTCCTCAATGTCGGCATTTAGGATACAAACATAACCAAAAGCACCACATTATAAAAACCTTAAAATAGATATTTTTTAAATCTAACACACCCTTAATGATCTTTCAGATCGAGCCAATGGAAAAGCTCATGACCAGCTCCCACCTGAAACTGATATTTTTTCTATACAAACAATAGACTCTAGTCATAGACATCACTCAATGATGTATACAAAGCGTATTTAGTGGGATAATAGGATTACATGCATAATCCCAAGATGCTAATCTGTAGGATATTTCTCACTGTTCACAGTTTGTAGGATCCAGGGATCACAACAGTCCTTTATAAGAGAAAGGTTCTCTCCTCCATATGAACATCAGACTGAAGGCTGCAGAGTGCGACAGAAGGATCGCTGCCCATACCCATGTTTGAACCCGAATGGAATGCACCCGTCCATTAATTATGATGTCAGTGTAGTCATGTGACACACTGAAACAGAAACGTGGCTCCAACGAGTATGAGGAGGAAGCCATTAGTTTAAAGTCTTTTCTCTCTCAATGACAAGACCTAATTTGGAAAAAGTACAGTCAGAGGTTGTTTGCTAAAGTTCTAAAAAGGCGCTAACAAGAATTATGGGCAATGTAATCTTAATAAACATACTGCAATAAAGTATTTGCTTTGTCATAAAGAAGTATTAATATCATTATTACAAGGACCTGCTCTCAATGTTACATTAATTCCTTTTAAATTCATCGCAGGAGATATTTAAAGGCCTATGTATAACTGAGCAGCGATGCGCTGGACTTGTGACAAGGTCATGTGATGCCACCCTTGGTGGGCCGTTTCCATGGAATCCCGAACAATGAACTCGTGTGAACCTTAAAAATCCATCTGTATCAATGAGAGGCCCCGTTGTGCACAGTTAAATGTCGTTGCAGCGTCGGTGAAAACTCTGCGCATCTCCGAGCGAGCCTTTTCCCTTCCCCCCTTATACCCACCTGTTCCACCCGGATCTCACACGTCCCGTTCAGCGTTTTTCCACGGAAATACTTTGCCCTGCAAAGAACACAAACACACAAGAAAGAAAAAACAGTCAGGCAAAAGTCAAACTAAGCAAATTTAAATTCCTCTGCTTTATGTACTGATTACTTAACGTAATGTACTGGCCATGCATTAGGTTTCACACGAGGAACTGCTGACACACTCATACCACGAGGGAAAGGTGGAGCACATCCAGCCTATGTTTATAAATAACCACAGAAAGGGAGCGCGATGGCTAAGCCTCTTGTCTGGGTGACATCACCTCCCAAAAGCTACTCCTATTGTTTGAGCATTACGGACCACGGTAAACACCAGTGAAAATACCTGCAGGCTAAATGAAAAGTCTTTTGTATAAATGAAAATACCCCATAGCCTAAATGTCTTTTGAATGTCTTCAAAGGTGGACACTGCATTCCAGATGTTGCGACATCTCAGCTCACTGCGTGGCAGGCTCACTGTCGCTCAGGTCACCTACAGCACCTTGTTCGCTAAAGCTTCCAGCTGTTCGACCAAGGCAGGGGCTTCCAAAGTGCCTATTCCTCTCAGTTTGACCGTGAAGGATCACTTCAGGTAGCACAAAGAACACTTTCAGTTCTTGACTGACAGAAAAAAACGGTTATAGAAGATAGAATTCAGCATAAACACAAAGTGTTGCTATTGTCAAATGATGAGGACACGATCTCTTACAGAACTTCTATGATTTGTTCCGGCCACAATTACAAGTATGATGAAATAGTCTTGAGAATAGGCACTGTAACAATAAAATTTCAGAAAACAAACATCTGAAGGGTAATCAGAGGTCGTGGGCCTTTTATTTTCACCTGTGCGGGCTGTGGGATTGTAGCATAAACAAGACAGAAGCGTCAACAGGAACAGCTATTCTCTGATATGAAACGCCCATGATATTCAGCTCTGTGCAAAGAAATCGACACGCTTAGAAAAAGTAAATAAGTAAATAAATCCATCACCGAAGCTTGCTGGGGTGGGGGAGGGGGGGTTCCGCAATGACACTTCATGTCCAGCCAACACAGCGGTGCAGGTCTCGCATAAAGAGACTCCGACCTGCTCGCAGTCCCACCGTCGGAGCGCCAGGGAGAAATGGAGCAGTGGGCCTCCATTGTGTCCCCAGTAGAATAGATCGACATTAGGCCTTAGCTGTGCGAAAAGGCAAGGTTTCCTCAGATACACTCAGAGCTGCTTCTGGAATGCTCTGGGGGGCTTCAAAGTACAAAACAGCCATCCCTACTTTGCTCTTGCCTCTTCATGACCTGGGATAAACATCTTCCACAAGGATTCAAACTGTCAATCCCTGAACTACCCTTAAGTCGCCCTCTTAAAGGCAAACATCCCCCTAAACTAATATCCATACTTCAGTTTCACCGAAGATCTATCTTTACACATTAATATGAAAGTGTCACCAGAAAGAGTTTTTTGTATCGTTTCTACCAAGGTCTTTCTTAAACGGAACCTTTTTTTATTGCTACGGCATGATGCGTGATTTTCATCACTGTAATATACAGACCAGGTTAATCCCCAAATGAGCTTGATGGGCCGAATGGCCTCCTCTGGTTTGTTTCTTATGTTCCTATTTTTTTCCTTTCTTGTTTCTATCCATACTTCCCACGATGCCGCCTGGCAGGTCACGAGAAAACTGGGTAGCCATGTGTTTTTTCTTTTTTTGATTTTAATCGTGCCTCAGGGGTTATCGTTCACAGTGACATGAAACAGAACATAAAAAAGAAACAAGGAAAAATCTGAACTTTCACACACGACACCGAGTCACTGTGAACACGCTTCCTTGCTCACAAAAATGTCAGCAGAGTCCCGGAGCCGGAGAGAACGGAAGCAATGAGCTTCGCACTGAACGAGCGCCGAAACCACAGCAGCCTGAAGCGTATTCAAAGCGGCAGACCACTTAGCATGTGTCAGACTTTCCTAAAGGAGGTAACGTAGCTGGGAATTGTGTCCCAATTCACTGCTCTCTTCGGCAAATGACATTTTCTGTCACTGTGCAATGATATATTTCACTTGTATGCATTCTTCTGTTCTTTATCACCGAATTTCGTGAAACCGTCAGTGAGGAAAGTACGCCGTAGTGTGAGTGTGAAAACGGGGCCTGAGATGATCTGGGCATCCCATGCAGGGTGAGTGCCATGCTTCATGCCCATGATCCTGGGACAGGCTTCAGGACCAACATGATCCTATGCATTATAAGCAAAGATTGATGGATGGATGGATGGATGGATGGAGGGAGGGATGATCTAGTGTAGTGTGAATGTGGTGCATTAAAGCTTGCTTTCCTAAATGTACCCTAATTTAATTCACTCTGTATAATCTGACCACGCAGACATTTTTGTTACCATTTGTTTCACATTCAGGTCTTCATTTATAGCTAGACACAAGATCCTTAGAGTCACTCGTTTGACACCATTTTCAAACGATCTATTTTCCCTGAGAACACTGTCGGATATTAGGTGACGCTGACACGCAGAGCCGGCTGTGTCACTGCTATGTTGTGGAACGGCGCCCCCTGGTGTCCATCACTCTCATGTGTACTTTTCTGTGGAGACAAATCCACAGTAGCTGTGCATGAACTGCATCAGCTGTCACCATATTTCTAAACCTCCATTTTATTATTAAGCAAGGCCCAGATTTAACAGAATTCTCCTTTTTATATTATTTCTTATTATTTACATCTAAAAAGCCAAAATAAAAGAATATACAGAGCACAAGGTAAAGGTACACCTGGATGTGATGCCAATTTGATGGGCACACATCCAGTAAAATAGTATAGCTCAATTTATAAATGCCAATTACAGCTGGAAGAATAGATGGAAAGGTGCAATATATACAGCTCAAAATTGAGACCATTCAGTATTTTTGAAAAATCTGCATTTTTAAATCCTGGTTTAATCTTGGTTCTGCTGGAAGAAGGCTACACTGCGAGGCAGGCTGCTTCCAGACTTCCAGTTTCTAAGACAGCGGTACACAAGAACAAGGTGAAGCAGGAAACACTGGCAGTGACCCAAAACCAGCCAGGTAGAGGGCAGAAGCAACTTTCTAATGCCAGAGATGACTGTTAACTTATCAGGCAGTGCCTCATAAATCGGAGGATGACCTCAAGTGACCTTCAAAAAGAATGGGAAACATTAAGTGGTATGAAGTGCTCTGCTAGGACAATTCATAACAGGCTCCTAGAAGCAGGACTGAAGACCCATAAAGCAAGGAAGAAGCTCTTCATCAATGAGAAGCAGGGAAGAGCCAGGCTGCAGTTCACAAAACAAAATGTATATTTTACACAAGTGCATACCTATAAATTGAGAAATGAGTGAAACTGTGGTCTCATTTTTTTCCAGAACTACAGTATACACTAAATACCACATGGAAATATTAATTCTGCTGATATTAGAAAAGTACATTGTCTATCCATCCATCCATTTTCTGTAACTGCTTGTCCTGTTCAGGGTTACAGGGGTCTGGAGCCAATCCTGAATGGTCCAAGGTAGGGAACATCCCAGGATGGGGCGCCAACCCATCGCAGGGCACAGTCACACACCATACACTCACACACCATATACTCACACTCATTCACTCACACACCATACACTCACACACCATTCACTCACACACCATACACTCACACACCATATACTCACACTCATTCACTCACACACAATACACTCACACACCATTCACTCACACACCATACACTCACACACATTCACTCACACACATTCACTCACACACCATACACTCACACACCATTCACTCACACACCATACACTCACACACAATATACTC